TGCCTTCCTTCCTTCCTTCCTTCCTTCCATCATCAGCTCCTTCCTTCCTTCTTTCCCTCCCTCCTTCCTTCCTTCCTTCCTTCCTTCCTTCCTCCTCAAGAACAACCTAAAGTGGCTTGCGTCATTAAAAGATAGTATTAAAGCTAACAACAGTGAATATACAAATACTAAAAAGGTTCAGTCAAATACCGTACTAAAAAAACATAAGCAACACCAAAACACATTCAAAGCAGTAAGGGACAATCATCCATTTAAAAGCCGCACTCTTTTTTTCAAAAGAGAAAGGCAGGGTAAAAATATTTTAAATCTATAGGATGCCTCCATGACAAGATGCAAATTCCTTTCTTGAAAAGAACAAGTTCTGTAGCTCCTTAAAAGATGAAGACGTTTTATTTGGTCTGTGTTTCTGTGGACTGCCTCCCACTTCACTGGATGCAAGTAGAGGGCAAGCCATAAAAACATACGCCAAGCAGAACTTCTTTTCTATTTATGGTGACTTTACATTCATGTCCCTGTTTGCGTTACAATCCATGGAGTCATTGAGTTTTCTTTCTGAATCATGGGTGCAGAAGTACGATGTCGCACATTCATGAACCAGAGGTGTGGGGTTTTGTGTGTGTGTGTGTGTGAAGAATTGAATTTGTAACACAGCTTGCCTGAAATGAGACAGTTTCTGTTTCGTCACACCGATTTTGAAACACAAGCCCTAAAAGGGCGATTTCTGTCTCTTTCACGTCTCGAAAAATGTTTGTTTTTTTCCGGCCCACTTTGGGCTATTCAGGAAGACCTCGATGAGGAAAAAACTGGTCTCGTCCTCAAGCAACCTCACAAGGGCCGGACATTCAGGCTTGAACCCACGAGCAGCAAAGAATCCGGCAAGAATTCTTTACATCCGTGATTGCAGGCTGGCCTCCCGTTCCTTGCTAAAGTGACAGGAAATGGCACACTAAAAAATAAAAATAAAAGCTGTACACTTCACCACAGAACAAGGGGCTCCTGTGCCTTGGATAGGAACCGTACGCCCAACAGCGGCTGCTTTGTCTCACCTGGATTAAATGATTCCTTTGGACTGATCGCTTCTCCTGTATGAACTTAAAAGATCTCTGAGGATTCACGAAGGTAAAGGTGAGAATCCAGCATGAAACAAAAGATTACCTGCTTCTCCACCCGGGTCTCCTTTCTCCCCTTTCTCTCCCTTTGGGCCTCGGTCACCTGAAAACACAAAGGAAAAGAAAATTGGGGTTGGGTGGGTGATGGATTTAAAACCTCATGAATAAAGTGGATGATGGGGTTTGACCGCTGTCATGATATTAAGCTGAGCAACTGGACCCAG